TTTCTCTGTGACTTTTGAGAGAAATGTAAGGTTTGAGACAGGGCGATAGTTCTTGAAGACATCAGGATCAAGGTGTGACTTCTGAGAAGAGGAGAAACAAGAGCTAGTTTAAAAAGGGCTGGAACGTGACCTGTAGAAAGCGATGAATTGACAATAGTAGTGATACTTGGCAGTAGTACATCCAGGGATTTCTTAACGAGAAAAGTTGGTATAGAATCAAGTCCACATGATTTATTAGGTGAATTATTTACAATATCTTTAACTTCATCTCTGGTAGCAGGCTGGAAAGTTTTTAGTGGGCTGATGATTGTTCTGCATTGTTCTTGTTGTCTATTGTTTGGCTGACTCTTTTGCAGGTCGGTCCATATTGCCTGGATCTTCTGAGCAAAAAATGTAGCAAACCTATTTGTAAGTTTGTTTCATAATAACAATCACCTCTTAATATCAATATTTAAACACATATTGGTTAAAAAAGTGAAACCTCACATACAGTGTAATGTGTGAAAAGTGTGAGCCAAGCATCTACCTCAAAAATCAATATTAAAATGATTTGAAAAATTTAAAATACTGAATTTTCATAAATGACATTATTTTGAACTTAAATAAAATAAAGGATGATAAATAGAATTGGAAAACTCACATTGTTTTCGAAGTAGTTCGACTTGTTTTAGTTTTGTTGTTACCGCTATGTTGATGCGATATGAAGCCTCAATGTCTGCCACAGCATGCATATGTTTACCCATCTTTTCTCGATATTCAACATAGACTCTAAGGAAAAGAAAATAAAGACATTTGGATTGAAAATAATATGTTACAGCCTCTCTTTACTTGTATTTAAATGATAAATGAAGTGTCAGCAATATCAATGTATATGTGTGTTGATTACATTTGCTGTTATGTCCTATGCACAACAAATAATGAGCTAAAGAAAGCCTTTTATTTTTATGCAAATATTTCCATTCCACTGACAACAATGGAGCAAAGTAGTGTGTGTATTTATTTTCCAATTTCATCAGATATTTGTAGTATAAGTTGTTGATCACACCATGCAGCCGTGCATATAATTGAACAGTGAATATGAGACATATATATGTATACATGTGGAATGTTGCAAAAAAATTGAAAAAAATGCAGACTTTGTGAATCTTCGTGATTGCCAGTTACCATATTAAATTTGATTGTGAGTTAAGTCAACTGCCATTAATGTGCAAGAACACAATAGTCAGGGTATCAAATAAGTTTAAACAAAAAGGACACTGAATTTGAAATATGAAAAGAATTGTGCAAAAACGGGTTAAAATTGGTAATTAATAAAAATTGCTAATAATCGGCCTTCTTGAATTAGATCAATCAATATAAGTTAATTCTATAAGCAGCAATCATGTGTCTTAATTTAACTTGTGAGAAACTATTCTATATGAGTCTGATATTGAAATAGACAATAAAATATATTCATTTTTAAGAAGTGCAATTAATATAGTAATTAGCATTTTCAGTTCAGTGCACAATTCAAGACGTCATATACTAACTGTATGTTGTACTTCTTGACCCACATAGAACTATGGAAATAAACAATTCACAAACAATAGTACCAATTTAAAAGTTAACTTTTATGACTGTTACTGTGAACACATTACAATACATTTGTATAACAATGACGGCAATTTCAAGTAATTTTTTTTTTAAATCATTAATGCTGAACAACACAATAACATATGACCCATAGCATGTGGCATGACATTTTCAATATGTCTATGCACTCAAGCTGTGTCATTTGACATGCATTGAAAAATCCAAGATTTCCTGTTTCTCAATGAACTGTCATATTTGTTTATGTATGCTGCTAGTTTTAAGGTCAAAGCTAGAATAATCATTAAGAAAGTTTGTACAAATATTCAACATTTATATATACAGATATGGTACACATAATCTGTATCCATATGCATGAATACTAAATCAAAGAAAGTTCTTGTGTGCAGGCAAGAGAATTAAAAAAAACAAGCTTTTAGAAATGCACATTTGAGATAAAGAATTGAAGATACTACAAAATGAATAAATCAGACAAACTTGTAGTACCTATATATATAATATCAAAACAATCAAACTTTCAGTTTTTAACAAGAAGTTGAAAATATAATTTTTTACCACCTGTAGTGTATATATATATATTATCTAAGCAATCAGACTTGTGGTTTTCAACAAGAAGTCAAAAATATCACTTTTTACCAAGAAATTACAAAAATATTCATCAAAATTAGAGAATTGGAGATATCATCACAAAATGAACAAATAAGAGAGAAGTCCACATGTAGTACCTAGATATGTAATATCAAAGCAACTGGACTTGCAGTTTTTAACAAGAAGTCAAAAATATCACTTTTTACCAAAAATTACAAAAATATTCATCAAAATTAAAGAATTAAAGATATCATCATGAATCGAATAAATCTAATTGAGATCTATGTGAGGTACATATACACCAAGTATCAAAGCAATCAGATTTGTAGTTTTCAAGTAGATGTCAAAAAAGTAAAAAGTTGACACAAACAACGACAGAAAAAATCCGACAGTCACTCATATGATAAGCTCCGCCTGAAAAAAGTACACCTTAAAAATACCTCCCTGTTTAATAACAACTAATTGCTTTACATAGTCTGTGAGTTCTCCAGTTTAAAAATATATATAGTTTAAACAGTCAAAAATTGTCAGAGATATGGCTCAAAACTGCATCCACTATACTTAATTGCCACCAGTTTATTTCGAGTCTCATAAAGTTCAATGTACATATACAAAGTTTGAACAAAAATTAACAACTGCAATTCGGCCATCTTGAATCGGACAACCAAATGAATAAATATGCACATGCAATTTCAAATCCAACTCAAAAAACAATCAGACGTGCAACAGGGTCCCATATTGTCCAATGTTTGTAGCAAGTTGAAACAAAACATCCATACGTGACCAACGTGTGGTTCCGAATGGCAAATATGCTTTATTTTGATGAATTTTTAACATGAAAATGGCCACCTTCAGCCATCTTGAATTAAATTGTCAAATGAATACATGTGCTAAATGATGTATGATGCATATCTAAATTTTGAAAATGATTGATCAAAGCATGTCAGACTTATTGCTCTAGAACAGTATTTATTAAAATGGCAGAAGCACAACATGAGTTGTGTTAAAGAGCTACATGTATATGTGCGAAAAAAAAAATTAATACTTCTAAAACAACAGAAAGTACCTTGAAGGACACCTTAAACATACAAAACATGCTATTTTCACTGTATTTTCTGAACTGAGTAAGGTGACGCCCATATATTAAATAATTCATTTTTATCATGCTTGTCACATGATATATGAAAAAATGGCCTGTTGCTCAACGGCTATTGTACAAAAGATTAGTGCTGTATATGGCAAATACCCCAAAAGGCAGAGAGTGAGACAATAAAACATAATGCTAAAAGTGGAATTTTTTACATAAATAAAAAAATAAAAATAATAAAAAATATTCAATAAAATTAGAATCAAAGAAAGCTTAAAAAGAACTCCAGTGTGTAACATAACATAGTATTTGCAATTATCTGAATTCATAATACATGTATATACCAAGTTTTGTTGAAATATGTTGAATGGTTCTTGAAATAGCACCCAAATAGCTTGAATTTCACTAGCTGATATGCAAATTATCTAATTTGCATAAATTTCCACCGAAAAATAAATATATCTGGAAACTGCCCCAACACATCTATGCACCAAGTTTTATTAAAACATATTAAATTATTCTCAAGATATCACCAAAATAGCCTAAATATTGGTATGTAAATTAGGCAATTTGCATAATTTTCCACCAAAATCAATCATGTCTATACACATTTAAATATCTTGAGTGGTTATGTTTTCATTACAATCACATGAACCAATCAAAGAAAACTATGTGCTATGTGAGAATGAGAAACAGTTGACAGAATAAATAGGAAACATTACATATCTCCCTGTGAGCATATAATTTCAATATGGCATCATTCTATAATCTTCCCAAGACAACTGTAGTGCATTAAGGAGAAGGTAATAACAAAAATCATGAATTTTTGATAAATTTGGACACTTTTAGTGACTGGGTGAAGTGTCATCCAAGCTACAAGTGTACCAAGTATCAAAGAATTTGGACTACTGGTTTTGAAGAACAAGTCAAAAGTACTATTTTTGATGAAAAATGACAAAATATTTGCTGAAAATAGAAAATCGAAAATGTCAACAATTTGTACTTTTAAATGAAATATCGCCAAACAACCACACAAAGTTGTCAATGGAATAATAAACACATGTATGCCTAACACCAAAGCATTGGAAATAGTGGTTTGTTGAAAATTCCATTTTTAACCAAAATTGACAAAAATATTTGCCAAAATTAGAGAATTAAAGATATGGCCAAATGAACAAATCTTGTAGATGTCAACACAAGGTACATACACACCAAGTATCAAAGCATTCAGGCTACCGGTTTTGAAGAAGAAGTCGAAAATAGAATGTTTGACCAAAAATGACCATTTTAAAATATTCGCCAAAATTATGAAATTGAAAATTTCCTTACCAAATTAACAAAACTGATAGGGGACAACTCAAGGCACATGCACTAACAATATCAGCACTGTAGACCACTTAGTGTCATAGTAGCATAGAAGAAATTTTTGAGTTTTTGGGGGCTAATTTGCATAATTTTTGGCAGATCGACTTCTCATGAACAAATTACCATCTACACTCATCAAGGCATCCACACACCAAAAATCGAGTCAAACGGTTCGGCGTTTTTTTGAGAAGAAGTCGTGCACAGACAGATAGACAGACGGACGACAGACGCAGGACAGAAACCCATCCCATATTGTCCGTTGAGCCAAAAATAAAAAAAATTACAATTATGCTTACGTCTGTGTTGCATTCTACCATAAAGATATCTCACAGCTGTAGCATAAGCTTTAATTGGCTTCTTTTTGCTACAGCATCGCTTCAGCTTCTTGTAAACAAAGGGCAGTTTTGCTACTATGGCAAAATTGACCTAATAAATCACACCACACTCTTGCACTCCACTGACGCCAATTCTGAGCCCTCATATCTTACTTGACCATCTTACTTGGACCATCAGTACGTGTATATCACCGCTTTCATAAAAGCTAATATATTTGTGCAGTCACATTACGAATACCTGCATAAAGTATTATTATAGTAATTATCAGAAGTAGGAATTAGAATACCAGCGACCAGGATGCTGCTGCCTTGACAGGTCTTGATGAGATTTCTGTCAACAATCAATTTCTGTCTACAACAGCAAGATATAGTTCTGAGCATAGGTAATCCAGACCATCAAGTCCCAGTACATTAAAACTCTCACTAAGATTGAAACAGAAGACTGCAGGTGGTGTGGAAAACGGTGAAGCCAAATCGACGTTCAATGTTATGCAAATGAGTATAGTCAGACTCAAACCCAACATTGTATAAATGCAATTTTTTATTGTTCAATCCACAAAAGGCATATAATAATACACAAACAAATGGATTTTACATCCACAGGATCTAAATTCCAGTATTTTGTGAATAATCTCATATTATAATGATCATCCCAATTTTTTTACAACAATATTTTTAAACAAATATTCATTTTCATATATCACACTTACTTCAACTCCTTTTTCCATTCATCTTGAATGGCTTTCATTTTCTGATTCACAGCTAAGTTATCTGACACCAGTGTATAAACACCTGAAAGTAAATGTTTCATTTCAGACAAGATTAATTTACCTAAAATTCGCAAATTTATTTGTTATGAACTACCTGTTTTATCTTGATTAGGGATCCAGTTTTAGGGGCAAAGTTAATAGAACTGTTTTAAACACACAGGGAATTAAGTGTATTGTTCAAAGGGCACCAAGGCAAACTATTTGTGGCTTGACGACAGAGCTGTATTATATCAGGAAGCAAGTTGGACAAGCAGGTTCAATTTGCGGATAGCGCAACATCTCGTAGTATATAAACTTACCAAACACTGTTTATTCTCAATGGGATAAAGCTTGGAACAATACAAGAAACAACACTCTTGAGCTTGTGAGCTCGTGAAAACTACAAAAAGGATGGCCACTGAACAGTCATAAAGTTGGCACCCTTAACTGATAGGCAGCCTCTTTCTGGTACCAGTCTCTGATTGGCCAGAGAAAATATTTAAAAGTCATATTCATCAATAATATTTGGTGTTCTTGCTGCATTCAGCGACACTATTAATAGGTCATTTTTCTGAACAAAATCTTATGTTTTTTCAATTGCTCAAGTGACATTTTTGCTGAACATAACACTATTTTTAAGAAAATTAAGAAGAAAATTACAAATATAATTGAGCTTGCAGTGTATTATACCATTCAATGCATATGGCGCAATATGACACTAACAATTAACTTATATTATTCCAAAATAATTGCCCATATTTGGAAAGTGCATTTACAATATTGCTAAATATTATCATACAATAAAGTATTACTTTATTGCATTGACATTGCCCTGAACTTACAATAATGTAATTACATTTAATTCCACAATAAATATTATAATGAATAAAATTGGCTAATTATTTGCGAATTTAAATATTTTTTGCAAATATTAATTCAAATTAATCAGCTCTGTAATCTAATAGGCAGTTCTTAAAACTTGACTTTGTTATATGCAAATTGAATAAAATATATGCACAGATTTTAACTCATCCCTGTGGATCATGTATGTAATCATGAATTATAATTAATATGCAAAATACACTGACTTCAATAAAAAACTAATCAACACAAAGCACCCATATACAACATTTCATTGAAATCCATTGATTGGTTCTTGGTACGCACATATATAGGGTGTATATATTAATGGTTCAAAATCTAGTAAAATTAAGATACAGGTAATAGATGCTGAAAAAATATTGCATGTATGATGTAGCTATTCAAAGACATTTAGCTAAACACGTCATTGTCAATGATACATGTTTTTAGTGACTTTGTCAAACAATGAAAAACATAGTTCCAATATGTTAAAATATTGGGATAGTACATTTAGCATATTAACACAATGCTTGATCAATAATCAACATGCACACTGGTGCCATCAAGTTCACATTACTTTCACTGATTGGTTATTTAGGATTCATAGAACATGATACTTGATCAATCATCAACATGCACACTGTGGTGCCATCAAGTTTACATCACTTTCACTGATTGATTATTTAGAATTCATAGAACACAATGCTTAATCAATAATCAACATGCACACTGTTGTGCCATCAGGCGTGCCCTAAAAACATTGGTCACTTGTTCAAATTTTGCAATTTTATTCGTCTTTCATAAAAATAATTAAAAACAACATTCAACCCATTATATCTTTCCTTTATACCAAATTTAAACCCAATCTGTACAATCAATTCTGTAAAATTTGCAGAACACTCAAAAACACAAAATACCCACCAGTCGGCTATTTTGAATTGAATCATGAAAACAATGACGTGCATCTGTAACCCACGTACTATGACTGATGTCAATGCCAAGTTTGAATGAAATCGGTCAAGGCATGACCAAGAAACGGTGGATGACATGTTCAAATGTCGATTTTTGGTGTTTTTTGGGACAAAAATAGTCGCCAGTCTATCAAAGGTCAACCAATTAAAATAAAATTGATGTCTTCCCTTATGACCTGCTTTTTACTAGCTTTGAAGAAAATCTGTCCAGGCGTCTCTGAGAAATGACGAAACACACAACGTCAGTTCAACAGGGACTAAATAAGGATAATACTCTGAACTCTATACAGCTGTGCCAATTTCATTAAAACATATATGAACATGTCGTGATGTACAGTATATATAGCATATCAAATTTAGACACCCTGTTTATCATGTCTGTGTGTTAATAGCTAATGATAAATAGATAAATATGAATTATAATACACTGAAATAAAATTAAAGTTTACCATTCTCTAGTTCTATACATGATTTGGACTTCAATGCAGCTTTCCCTTGAGTTAAGCAGACCTTTCTATTGACCTTACCAATTTCCTCCTGAATACATTCTTTTTGTAGTTTACCTGAAAGATGTATTGATAGTTGTATTAGTGATTATCAAGTGCAGTAAATCAGAATACATATATGTGTGGTTAATGGCTAAGTCTTCCTTCCTGCTTCCTGGTTGCTATATTCTGAACATTTAAATTAATGAATGCGAAATGACCACATAATTTGAAATAAGCAAACAGTCTGCACATTTCAAGCCATTTTAAATCTAATTTTTCCACACATTTAATTTTAACAGATAGTGTGACTTTAAATGAACAATATGTAGACTTGCTGTTTTCAACAAGAATTAAAAAATATCACTTTTCACCAAAAATGACAAAAATATTCACCAAAAATAGAGAATTACAGATATCATTACAAAATGAGCAAATCTGAGAAAGGTCCACATGTAGTACCTATATATGTAATATCAAAGCAATTGGACTTGCGGTTTTTAACAAGAAGTCGAAAATATCACTTTTTACCAAAAATAACAAAATATTCACCAAAATCAAAGAATTAAAGATATCATTACAAAATGAACAAATCTGAGAGAGGTCCACTTGTAGTACCTATATATTTAATATCAAAGCAATTGGACTTGTGGTTTTTAACAAGAAGTCGAAAAATATCACTTTTTACCAAAAATGACAAAAATATTCACCAAAATTAGAGAATTGAAGAAATCATCATGAAATGAACAAATCTAAGAGAGGTCTATTCAAGGTACATATAAACCAAGTATCAAAGCATTCAGGCTTATAGTTTTCAAGAAGAAGTCGAAAAAGAAAAAACATTGACACGGACGACGATGGTCTATCACTCAATTTCAAACCATTTTGCTTTTTGTCAGTGAAAAAAATTCTAGCTAAAACAAAACAATTCCCCATCAACAGATTTTCAAAATGATTTTAATATGAGCTATATATAATTGTCAAATATTTCAATAAAAATAGGAAAATTATTCCATGAATGTCAAAAAAAGCTATAAATAAATATATTTTGTATTATTTAAAATTTTGTTTGTGAAATTTTTTTTTAATCAAGAGCAAGAATGGTGACAACACCAGCCAAGACAATTATCGCCCAATAGCAATAACATTAGCGTTTTATAAAGTCTTGGAGCGAGTACTGCTTGTGATGTATGAATCCTACATTGACACTCTAGATAACCAATTTGGAAGAAGAAACACTCAACTGATTAGTGTATTCTTGTTCTCAAAGAAATTATTTGTCATTATAACACCATGGGAAGTAATATGTCTGTGTGTTTCCTAGATGCTTCCAAGGCTTTCGATAGAGTAAACCATTGGATGTTATTCAAAAAAAAAGTGCATGGGAAAATCCCTCCATTCATTACTCAACACGAACATTACACAGTAAATGGGGAAACAACCTGTCGCGGTTCTGTGAGGTTACCAATGGAGTTGGTCAAGGTGGTATTATGTCCCTGGCTCTGTTCAACCTTTATGTAGGTGACTTAGGTTGTGAATTATTAAAAGCTTGTATATGTTTGTCAGGTTTGTATCAAAATTGTTAATAATTTAAGCTATGCAGATGTGTCTCATTGCCCCCTCTATCAAAGGCCTACGCAAACTTTTAATAAAGTACATGTGAGTTATATACTAATAATCATGATGTATGTATTTTCCTAGCCATTATAAACTGAGTCATATACCATCAGTTTATTTATGTTGAGTTATTTAACTATTTGGGTCACAAAATTACTTCTGATCTCAAAGATGATTTTGACATTGATCACCAGACGTTTGTTTTGTGTTTGTGCCAATCTGTTGCAGCGAAAATTTGTGAATTGTAGCACTGTTAAGCAACTATTATTTAGAACTTAATGTTTTTATTGTTGTCAATTATGTTCATTTCGAGAAGCTACACTTAATGCCATGAGGGTTTCATATAACAATGCTTTTAGGAATATTTTGAGGATATTCATTTGATTGCAGTGTCAGTACAATGTGTGTTGTTAATCAAATATACACATTCTCTTGTTTTAATAGAAGTTAGTAGCGATATTTACTGAACGCGTTTATACCTCTACTAATGACAATGTCTCTGTAATATATAATAGTGACATACATGTAGGTTGTTGTAAGTCACAGTTGGTGCAGCACTGGAATAACTTGATTTTTTGATTTTGTAGCAAAAACTTAATGATTGTACTTTTTTTCATTTTCTCTCATTGTTTTGCAAGTTATTTTATATGGACTTTGTAATAATACTAAGCTTCATTGAAATGCAGTGTTTATAACAGTGATATGAGTATTCCAGACTGGATAACAACAATTTAATGTATACATGTACACCTCTCACAAAAAATGTTTCAACTTTATATATTTGTCATAATCAACTCATGGCGTTGTATATACATGTCCATGCACAGATCGATATGTACGTCAATGTTTTATGGCTACTATGTTCTATGTTACACACCAGCTGGTGCAGCTGAAGGTTTTGGATGTCAAAAGAGGCCAAAATGGACGGTATTACATGTACCTATCACGTACACACTGATGATATATCAGAATTACAATAATGTTGTTACAGTTGATTCTACGCTAAATAATGTGCTCACCATAAAATATTAACCTGGAAAAATTGGCTAATTATTCGCAAATTTAAAAATTACTAAACAAATATTAATTTAAAATCAAACTATAATCAGGTCTGGAATATCCGAAGACAATCATGTACCAAACTTAACTGAAACCTCAGTTCTATTTGTTTGGTCAAAAAACACATATTTTGAAGCAAAGAGACCACTTTAATAGACATTGATTGTGTAATTATGTCCATCAACATTTGTAATCTATTATGTATTACATGTACCTACACATATGAAGTTTAAATGAAATTGGGCAATGCAAGACAGAGAAAAAGTAAAAAAATCATTTTCACCCAATTTTTCTCACCAAAAAATAAATATTTTGACTCATAAAGAAGTTATGTCTATCAATATATATGTAATGTATTGCGCAATAGCTATATTTTTACAAAAATGACATACTTTGACCCAAAGTTTCTGAAATAGGCAGATTGTGAATTGTGTATATCAATATGTTATGTGAAGTTTGAATTCATTTGGTTCATCATTGTCCAACTGATGCACAGAACAAAAGATTTTAAGCCATAATAAAGCTTTAAAAACAAGACATGCATCAAGGTCCCATAATGTTCAAAGTATGTACAAAGTTTGAGCAAAATTCATCTATACACAACCAAGATGGGTTCTGGTGAATTTTTAACATTATAATTATGGCTGTCATTTGGCCATATTAAATCTGATCAGCAAACAAATGCATGTGTATATATGACATAATGTGTGATGTATATTGAAGTTTGATGGATGGGTCAAGGCATGTCAAAGATATGGCTCTGAAATTAAAAACAAAATCTGGAAAAATATGTACCCGGTATATACTAATTTTGAATGAAATCCATCTATACATAACTGAGATCTGGTTCCGGGGAAAAAGATGCTTGTATTTGTTGAATTTTTGACATTCATCCATCTTGAATTTAATGACCAAACCAAAATATATGCATTATCATGTACAGTACCTACCGTACAACAGTCAAAGCAAAACTAACTTCCAAGCTGGCTATTCACTGACTTTGCCTTTTCACAAAAACTTGCAATTTTCAATGTAAGTATATGAATCATTCTCATCAATAACTTAAATTTATTCTTTGTACATGTACTGACATAATTCATATTTTATAGTCAGATTACTCTAACAGATTACAATTTACATTTATGGTGATTTTTGAAAGCTAAATCAAGTCAAGGCATGTCAAAGATAGAGCTCTGGAACAGCATATTCAAAACAAAATAGTTGGCTATTAATGTGAACTAAAAAAGTCATTGAAAATGACACAGTCCCCGTTAAAGTTCTCTTTGTGCTCGTCATATTAAAGCGAAGAAGTTGTCGCGAGCGTGTCCTTGAAACTTGAGTTCCAAGTGACGTATACAACAGATTGTTTATTTACATCAAAACATGTGTTTCGTGTAGTAGTAATATGGCCAAAAATTATAACAGTCGTTATTCGGCCATCTTTGATCTGATTATGAAACACACTGATATGTATGATGTATGTAACAAATTTGAATGAAAATGGTACATAAATTGTGGAAATATAGTAGTAAGGCCAAAAAGTCAATCAGCCATCCTTGACCAGATTTTGAAACATATTGTCATGGACATGCATCCTAACATGTATAAAGCACGTCAGATACCGCATAAAAAAAAAAAAAGATGCCTGCCAGTTAACCATCTCTGATCCAATTGCGAAATAAATCGTCATGGACATGTATCCTAACATGTATAATCTATGTACCAAGTTTGAATGACAACTGACAAAGCCTGTCCAAAATACAACATTTTCAAAAAACAAGATGGCTGCCAGTCAGCCATTTTGAATCAAATCGCTAAACCACTGCATGTGCATATGTCCCACATAAAGTACTAGACATATGCAAAAAATGAACGGATTCGGCCCAAGAGATTCTGAAAAATGATTCAGGACAGACTGACACACGGACGGACGGACACACGGACGGACGGACACACTAAGGAACTTGCGAACAGTCAGGGACATGTATCCTAATATGTATGATCTATGTACTAAATTTGAATGACAACTGACAAAGCATGTCCAAAATACAACATTTTCAAAAAACAAGATGGCTGCCAGTCGGCCATTTTGAATCAAATCGCTAAACCACTGCATGTGCATATGTCCCACATAAAGTACTAGACATATGCAAAAAATGAACGAATTCAGCCCAAGGGATTCTGAAATATGAGTCTGGACAGAACTGACACACAGACGGACGGACACACGAACAGACGGACACATAAGGAACTTGCGAACAGTCAGGGATATGTATCCTAACATGTATGATCTATGTACTAAATTTGATTGACAACTGACAAAGCATGTCCAAAATACAACATTTTCAAAAAACAAAATGCTGCCAGTCGGCCATTTTGAATCCAATCGCTAAACCACTGCA